GGATGCATCTCGATTGCATCTGGGAAATGTTTTCAGTGTTTATTTTCTGTCCCTCTTTATATAGATGTATTCGTTACTTTCTGACTTTACTATTTTCTTTAACGTTTTTACCTCGCAAGGCAAATGATGCCCGCTGAGAGTCATATCATTTCACCTCAAAAATCTACCCGCCGCCTGGCACTTCAGGGAACGAGTTTTCATTTCAGCTACCTTCAGGCGGAGAAGGCTGTTCAAATAGCAGTACCTCGTCTTCTTTCAATGGGTGTGAAAGTAATTCGTCCTTCGGACTATTATGCTGAAATGGCGAAAAGCGACGGCCACATGCAAAAGGTATCTCATCGAATTTTTTTAGAACCCAGCACTTGTACTCAATTGCTTATCTCTTTATGCCTGTAATCTGTCATTGGTAGCACAATTCTTTCGAATAAATAATTGTTTGTGGAGCAGGGTTTTTGCACTTTCACCAAAATCTTTTTTTAAGGTTAGGAAGCGGTTGTTGAAAATTCAAGAAGGTAAAGAGCGCCAAGAAGCAATTAGAAGGATGCGAGAAGAAAAGAAGTATGCTTCAAAGGTTCAAAAAGTACGTGACATTGTTTTGTTCTGAATCACAAGAAAAACTAATCTAGGAAATTACTGCTTCCAGGAAGTGTTGGAGAAAAGGAACAGCGAGAAAAAGCAGTTGATGGAAGCTGTCAAGAAGCATAAGAAAGGAATGAAGCAACAGTTAGAGGACATGCTCAGCAATGTTAAACGAATGGGTCTGGATCAGGTGATTATTTTTTCGGTGTACAGCTTCGTTCAGTAATTGATGCATGGGACAGGTGTGTGGTTCGCTAAGGCTGGTGTCAGAGTCCGCGATCCGTCGCAGGTTTCGCTGATTTCAGCGATTTTCGCGATTTGCGCGAAACCTGCGATGGATCACAGGAGTTGGAAGAATGCCCGATGATACTGCGAGGTGCTTGTTTAATCCTGCTGCGAATTCTGCTTGACAGTGAAAGATTGAAAGACGACTGTTTGTGATTCTACTTGTTTCATGTTCAATGTCTATCAGTTCATTGAAATGCTCATGATTCGTTCCTATTCTATCCTATAATTCTAGATTCTATAATATCAAACAAGTGGAATCATGAGGGCAGTCGTCATTCAGCCATCACTATCAAGCAGAAGTGGCGGCGGGATTGGAGAACACCTTGCAGTATTGATGGGGCACTTGTGATTTCCGTGACCCGTCGCGCAAATCGCGAAAATCGACCTGCGACGGATCGCGGACTCTGACACCAGCCAAAGACAGAAGGCCACTTTTCCGCGTTCTGCAGTGCGAAATGTTATTCGCTGCGGCGACCTCAGGTCCATCGCTGAGTGGGTCTAAGGTTCTCCAGTGAAGTTTTGCGCTGCGAAACGCGAAAAGTCCCTTTCTGTTTTAGTGAACCACACCTTTGGAATAATTCAGTTACTGTATGGCTTCAAAAGAAAGCTTGCTCGAGCAATTTTACTCTTGAGTGCGTTTTAGAGATGCTTGCTTTTTCAGCAGCAAGATTGCTATACAATTTAATTAGAAAGGAATCTCCTTCAAAAGCTAACTAATTCACTTAAAGGAATCCTTCCACGGAAAAAGCTCCGCCCTCATTACCACAGAAAACGATACCTTAAAGGAATCTTCCACGGAAAGAGTGATCATTTTGTCTTGTGTGTAGGATTAGTATTATCGAAACTAACGCTTATGTTCCGTTCTTTTTGCTATGCTCATGAGGCTAGGGGCCTAAGGGGTATCGTTTTTCTAGGGGTTCTAGGTTTTCAAGGTTTATG